ACTGCGCTCGTCGTTTTCACGATCACCTTGAGCGCGACGCGTCCTATCGGCAAGTGTCAGCCGGTGACGGAAAGGCATTTATGACGGCCGCTGTACCCCTCGCTCTGTTCCAGGTCCGCTTTACCGTTTACCGTTTATGTGGATGGATTGATGCTGCCCGTCGCGTGTACGGCACGCCTCGCTTCGTTGCGTTACCAGCCGTCCACTCCCACGCGACTCCCCCTGTATGCTGTCACTACCCTCAACCCCCCGTACAGGGCCGACCGAGTACATCACGGGGTCCCGGACAGCGAACATTTTCCTGGAGGACTCAACAGATAAGTCGAGGTGATACATGATAATTTCGGTGCCGCGCGTGACTAACCTTCTCGGCTGCCCCTTCCGGAAATCTAGCGCGGACTTTCACGTGAAAATAGAATTCTTTCGTGAAGTAATTATCTCCGCACTCAGAGAAATGGCTGAAGCAGCTAAATCTCATTAGCTGGTTCGAAGTTTACTTGTCATTGCACAAAGTTGGCTATTAATGGTAAAATGCATTTGCTGCGAGATACAACTCTATCAGCGATGAAATTATTGGCGCGAATAGCTAAGGATTAGCTGTGTTCCTTTTCTCGTTGTACTATAATATGAAACATAATTTACATAATATGAAACACTTCGCGAACGCGGAAAGCGTTCGGATAATTTCGATCTATAAAGAAAAGGGCAAATGTAGGGTGCGAGTGTCTCGATTTAATTCCGGTTCAAAGTACTTGATACTTTCAGAAAGGGTGCTTCCGAATTATGAACGGAAACAAAGAGATTTAAAGTTTGGAGTAACGGCCCGCGATCGATTGGGCATGAAACGAGGCGAAGTTTGCGTATCCAAGAGTGTTGGTGGATCTGAATGTGTGTACACTAGAAATGATGTTGACCGTACGGTCTGGGAAAAGTCGTGGAGAGTGGAGTTTCATTGGCGAGTCGTCATCTTCCGGTCGCGCTTTTCGTTTAACTTTTTAACGAGATATTTAATCGAAAAGACATCGACCGCGAGCGGGTAGCTCTGTCGAATAGTCTGCGAACAAGTTCGCGATGTGGTTGAAGCAAAACTGGGTTGGAAAATCTCGAACAGCTCGCTAAAAATTAATAAGAATACGACAAAAAAAAATATATATATATGAGAGAAAGAGAGATAGAGAGAGAGAGAGAGAGAGAGAGAACGCAGATCGTCTCAAGTTGATTTTTAGACAGAAAAAAAAGTGCTAGATTCAAATAAATAATTACTCCAATGCTCCTTAGCAAATTTTTACTTGGATTAAGTAAATTTTACTTGGATCAAGCAAATAAATTTGATTTGGATAATTCACTCTTGGAAAATATTTTACTCGGATCAAGTAAATATTACTTGATCCAAGATAAAATTTGCTCAGGAATACTGCAGTAATTATTTACTTGAATCTGATACTTTTTTCTGTACAGACACTGGTCGTTTCATAGGCTTGCAAAGCATTTGAAAATGAACTTGAGATGATCTTAAATGTAACATCTGACTTGGAATACCGTCCTTAAACTCTGGTTAAGGTTTAGTCGACTCTGATGAAATCGGGCATCGGACGTAATAATGTGCGAGGTCAATTGGGAGGTCAAGTCGCCGCGCATGTGCGATGATCTCGACGGCACCGCGAGCGTAGCGCGCGATTAAGCCCTTAAACGCGGAATATCAACATTAGAAAAGGTGTATGCAAGCCCGGGTCGCGTACGGTTCACTGCCTCCCGGTACTTCCCGGTCGCTAAGAATTACAAATCCGTCGTGGTAAGCCGTCCGGTAATCTTCCCGACGTCGTTTAACGCTATATTCCGTAATACTTACATATATATATATATACGCGGAATCGCGCGCGGGACGGCATTTTACCGGCGCGGTGCGCCAGCATAGGCGGATAATATCGGCGGCAGCGGTGGCGAATTTTCGCGGAAAGAGGAAAGCAGAGCGTCGATTATACGGGGGTGTGAGAACGCCGGAGGTTTCGGGGTTGTCAGCGAGCGGATGATTGCGCGCCTGCGGCGTCACGGCGCTTCGCGATGCGCCGAGTACCACGTACATAATACATAGGCGCGTACCCGGAGTGGTCACCTACATCTTATGGGCTTTTCACAACGTTTTTCGGAATTTAATCCGACCCTGCGACGTCGGTAGAGCGCGAGTAGCGGCACTTTCAGTCTCGTTCATGAATATATTTTAATTCGAGGTTAATACTCGTTGTTCGAAGAAAAATACTTTCAACTTGTCACACGTTGTGTAAAAAAAATTCGTCGACTCTGTCGGGACATGTGCGCGATATCTTAATTGAGATTTTAATTGGCAGTACGTTGTCGAACTCGCGAGCTGAATAGTTGCTCGCGTTAATAGAACGATTTCGGATTTGGTCAACTACGGTCTGACCGCGGTCATTGTTTATTCGAATAAGAGAGATCGGACATTTTGCGACAAGTTTTCTGGATTCGTCACGAATGTGATATACGAGTAAAGTCAAATTGAAGCATTGATACATCACTTATTTCAGCGGATACAGTCGGATACGTCAAGCGCATTTAGCGCACCGATAACTATTATCATCTCACCTTCGCGAGACCCGCACGGGAAAGCCGCCCGGAAAAGTTACCGCGGAAACAAAGAGCGCCTCGACCATTCCGACGTCGACTATAACGTCGGCAATTAATCACAGCGTCTAATTAACTCCGCCAACAAAGTACGAGCAATTTCGAGAGACGGAGCGACGACGGCGGCGACGGTGACGGCGATGAAAACAGAGAAAGGGAGAGAGAGAGAGAGAGAGAGAAAACGACGTGGGAGCGTTAACGTGCGCGAGCGAGTGTGTTCGCGAAGGTGACGACGAGAAAGAGGGGCGGCGAGGTGGGCCGTTTCACCCCCGTGTGGAACCTCCTTAACGTTAGGAAGCTCTGCCACTAATTGAATCTCCTCTCTTACTCGCGTCTGGAGCCTCGACAACCGCTGGGAACCGGAGCACCCGTTCTGCATTAAACACCCCCGACACCCTGGGCACCCTCATCCCTGCCAAGCGGTCTCGTATCACCCCCTCCTGCCCTCCCCTTCCCGCCGCCCCGGCCATCCTCACCGCTGAGTCCCCCATCCACCTTTTCTCTTTCCACCTCGGCTCACCTCTCTCTCTCTTTCTCCCTCTCTCTCTCTCTCTCCACCTCCGCAGGATCCAGCCCCCGCTAAGCGTCCCAGAAAACGAGCCTCCGCCGCTGTTATATCGCCGTCGATGGCGAGGAACATCGACCCGTGTACACCTCGCCCATCCCGTATAACTCTCGTGCGGAAGATCAAGCTCGCTTTATTTCCAAATGTCCCTTTTAAAACCGAGAGCAACGGTATGACGCGGCAGCATGCTAGAGGGAAGAACGCGTACGGAGAGAATCGCTGGCCTCGGTTTTCCTCGCTGGTCTCGCCACGAAGAATGGAGAAACCGCGGATTACATTAGCTTCTTTCGAAAGCCCACAGTCGTCATTCGCCCCAGGTGAAACGGAGAATCGAAAAGCGACAACGTCAAAATGACGAGAAAATGATCATGAATACTCACTCTTTCATCGTTTTGACGTTATCGTCATTTTCTGTTCTACTTGGGACTGCGATGACGAATTGATCGCGATAAAATAACATGTCCGTCGTCGCCAATTTGTTTCAATTTTTCACGATTTCTAAGGTCTAGTGAAATCGGGATGAAAAAGAAATAAATGCGAAAAATCTACAGTATGGTGGAAACTAGATTTTAATTCACAGTATGTTCGCTGAAATTCGAGAGTCATCCGCCGCACCAAAGTCTTGAAAGTTAATTCAAATCAATCGGGGATATCAAATTGAGACTGCTTTATGCTCGGTTAAATCGTGAGTTAATGCCACGGGAAAAAATTGCCTGTCGGGAAGACGATCGTCGCACGCCCCACGCGATATGGTCGATCAAATGAGACGTCAGGGAAAACTGAAAGGTCGCGTGACAGTGCGTATTCATTGTGACACCTTCGCGATTAGCCGGCCCACTCTTTGGGGCTCTTACTGAGTGTAATAGAGACGAGATAATATTCGAAGTAGCGAATTAGCGGGCATCTGAAGTCTCGGCCGAACACGACATCTCACTTTTTCGAGTCTTCGATCTCGTCGTGTCAGCTTTTACACTGATAACGCATGAACTGTTCGGCCGTGGTCAACGCTTTGGCTCGTACACAGGCAGGTTTATTTAGGAGGGCTTGGTTGACCGATAGTTACAGTCGATTTCTTTGTGGCTTATTTGCGGCCTTTCGTGAAAACACGAGGAAACCGGTGGAACGTTTCTCACAGCCGCTCGTCATCTCCGCTTCACGGAGGTGACAAATATATCTCTCCCCCGTTATCTTATGCGTTTCATGCATTAAAAAAAGAAACAGCTCGTTGAAGAAGGAAGTTCAGCGACTCTTCCGTGACAAATTATGCGTACCGATTGTCAAGAATGAACAGAAACGTCCCAGACAGCATACAATATTTATAAAATATTTTAGAAATATAGATATTAAATATTTTTATAAAAATATTTATGGAGAATATCTTTCATAGATAATACAAACTTGATTTCACTTAAGTAAAATCATGTTTTAATTACTTACGAAAAATATTCTCTATAAATATTTTTTTAAATTAATCATAATCTTTCTCATACGATCCTCGGACATTTGGATATTTACAAAATATTTAATATTTATATTTTGTAAATATTGTGTGTGCTGTCTGGGGTAAATAATACTACCGAAAGACATCGTGTGAAATTAGGAAAGGCTTGAATATCGAAACAAATTTTGAGAGTTTCGCAAATATAGCGTTTTACAATTGAACAAAGATGCAAACTTTTGATACGGTCACATTGCTTTTGTGGTTTGGATCGATTGACTTGTCGCTTCCAATCGGGTCATTAACGCGGAAAGAACGAGATTGCGTATGTAAGATAAAGCACATTTGAACACTTACCGTCCTTGTTCATGTTAGCTTCGAAACACTTAGCGAGTCGACAAGCACGGCATTGATTTCTGTGGGTCTTGTCAATCGGACAGCGTCCTTTCTTGGCTCCTTGGGCCTTGCAGATGTACTCCCGATTACTGTGTATACTTCGCTTGAAAAACCCCGAACAACCTGGTTACATAAAATAATTCGTACGAATTCACGGAAACATTACAACAACAACACCGGCATACAATTCATTAGTGTCCAACAGTTCGCAGATATTAAACAGTAATTTACATTAACAAGGAAAGTTCGAAAATGAGAAAAAAATGAGATCGTTAAAATGATTAAGATCTTCCTCTCTCGGAGATCGGAAATGCTTTCTATAACTACATTTAACATTTTATATATCACCCCTCACTCTCCAAGAATTTAGAAACGTCCTTCAGTTTGTTTGCTATATAATTATTTAGTTAATGTAACGCAAGACTACGAGAGATCGCGGGAGGATTTACGGTTGCCCGACTGATTACTAATCAATAATTATTACCGTCGCAACTGTAGATGCCGTAGTGTTTCCCAGAACTACGGTCACCGCATACATCACACAATATATCGAGTAATCTGTCTCCTGAAACAAAAAAAGAAAGGAACGTCGTACACGTTAATAATCATTGCGAAGAATATTTAGTATCGTCAGACACCGTAACTGAATCGTTACATCAAGCGAGAAAGAAAGAAAGAAAAAGAGAGAGAGAGAGAGAGAGAGAGAGAGACTCGTCAAAAGTCTCTCGCGAAATCCTATTTAAGAAAGCGGCCGGGCCGCAAGAAGATCTCCGGTGCTAATCTGTTTCCCCCTTTTCGCAGGCACCCTAATCGTCCTAATGATCCGCGGCAAGAAAAACACGGCCATGCCTAAGCCAACCAAAGCCTTCCTTCCTCGGCCTGGGGTATCAACCGCCTTCGTCTCACACCCAACCAACCTAACCCGATCAACTCCGGGTTACTTCAACCCCAACGGATTACTGCCTCCGTCGTGTACACCGTGACGCCTTCTTCTTCTTCTTCTTCTTCCTTCTCCTCCTCTGTAACGCTTACGTCGTTCCATGTTCGCGCGTCCGCCTTTATCTTTATGATATGCAATGAATTTTGTCTCAATTTCAAGCCCCCAAGTGTACTCGATCTTAACAACGTCGGTTGTTGAGACTTTAATCGAACTCTAAAAGATCTGAAGTCTTTGAGAACCAGTTCGGAAGTTTTAACCGGAGTTTTTTTAACAGTAAATCCTTACAAGACACTTATAATCCGCTTAACAGCGCTGTTTATACGGCTAAAACTTTCAAACAGATCCGAATCGAGAGCTTCACACGTGAAACCGAAATGTTTCCCGAGCGTTGAACTTCAAGAACTGAATGTAATTTGCTCTTGCACGAAGACGTGTCTTACCTCCTCGTGAAAACATCTAACAGAAGTATAATCTTTGCAGGTATTCTTCGCATTTCTCTAAGTATCAAGCTTCGATCATTCGGGCAGGCATGATCGGACAGTAACCGCACCAACGTTCGACGCGTCTAATTTTATGCGATTACACAGTACACCATAACTTGCTTTTACAGACATTCTCACTGACAACAGCGGATCCTGCGTGCATTTGCGTCTATCAACGTGTCTTGGTTCTCGCGAAGATGCATATATAGCACGTTTAATCGTTAATAATTCCCGATCAATTATTAATTAATAGCCAGCGGTATCGCGAAAACGCTCGCGCACTGTGAATGTTCTCCCTCGATCGCGCGTGATAATAAAATCACCTTCACGTCTCAGGACACGCGAGAAATCCTTCGATTTCTCGTCGATTTTCTCGTATCTTGAGAACGGCAGTACCTGCGGCCGTACAGAAACCGACACACTTATTCGAGCCGCCCCTCGAACGCGACGACACGATCCGCCGAATTCCGTCAGCCGATTCCGATTACGCCGTCAACGAGTGAACACTCGAGACGATCGAGCACTGTCGATTATCCCGCGATATCCACTTTTATTTATCAAAACGTGCCGCAGGAGTCGAGGCTTGTCGAACAGGTGGACGACTGAAACGCTCTCGGCACCTCTCGCGATCGCGTTGTTACACAACATCCCTTAGATTGACCACCAAGTCACCGAGGAAGGTGCGTCACTCTCACGTCGCACAGCCCCACGTTTGAGCCGAGCGAGCTCAGCTAGCAGCACCAGCTCTAAAGCCGTTTAACGCGACCGACGACGACGACAGTGTGAGAGGAAGAGAGAAGTGGCGAAGCGAGGCGGCAAGTGTCTTGGTAGACTGACCTGTGCCCATCTCCTTCGCAGCTGATTAAAAGTCGAGCATCGCCAGACGACGGACAGCCGAGCTCCCGACGCGGCGCCGACGAGGTCGCGCGAAGTCCCGAAGCATTCTCCGTGACGGGGTGGCTTCGAGCCTCGACGTACCTACTCATCTCTCTCTCGTCGGGAAGGGCGTACTCGCGATCGTGTCCGCGTGTCTACGTGTACATGTACATATATATATATATATATATATATACACATGCACCACTGTCTCTGTGTGTATGTGCGTGTGTACGTGCCTCTGTTCGTCCGTGTATGCGCATATAGGGGTTGTTGCCCGACTGGCTGCCGGAGCAGCTATCTCTCCTGTCCGTAGCCACATCACGGAGAATCATGGGTCGTTCCCCGATACGGTCGACATGGTCCGGTGGTGGGTCCGCGGGGGCGCTTGGTATGAGTCGAGGGGGCAAGGGGGTGGGAGGTAGCTAGGTAGGTAGGTAGGTAGGTAGGTAGGTAGGTAGGATGGCTGGTTGGTTGCCGAGCGAACCAACACATCGACGGCAATCCCTAAACGACCGCGAATCGGCGAGGAGGCTACGAGGCGATGGCGTATACCGGGGGTTACGTCACGCGAATCCACGGCGTAACACCTCTTCTTCACCTCCACCGCCGCCGCCGTCGTCGTTGGCACGTTGGCCTACACGTCGCGCTCTCTGACAGGAGAGAGAGAGAGGGAGAAGAGAGGAACACGGCGCGCAACGGGGAGGGGGCGGGGGTGGAAGCGGGGTGAGAGAGAGATAGGGTGGGGAATTCCAGCGAGCTAGCGACTAGACGGCCCGGGGACTTGCTGGCCGAGTGGCTGACTCGACTATATCGGGGTAGCGCTAGTTAGCCATCGGCAACTGCGGGGGCGGCTCCGAAGGCCACGTTGTCAGACGGCCGTTACCACTGTGTCATTGGTCGACTCCACCCACGAGAGCGCACGGGGTTGAGGGTGAATTCGCGAAGGGGTAGTGGGCGGCGCCAGGCGAACCGGCGACCGCTGATTCGGCGCCAGGTTACCAGCGGCGTCGCGCCGGCCAATCGACAATACGGAATTAGGGTAGCTGACGACGTTAACATCTGCCTTCCGGCGGCCGGCGCTATTTACCAGCGACACGCGGCAGCGTCGCTGCTTTTTCCGCGAGATTGGTGTGAGTATAGGTGAGCGTAGAGATGTGAGTAGGTAGGTGGAAGCTACTAGGTAGAAAGTGGGCGCCGCGGTGAGCGGTGGTTGAGACGGATGGGAAAGATAGGTGCGCGAGCGAATCGATGATCGCGTTTCTACAATCGAGGTTCCGGTAATCCACGCGCCGCTCTTCTTCGAATAGCCGGCGAACTGCGAAATTCCAGTCGACCTCGAACGCGGCCTCTTCGACGTAACCGCCCGACACGGGAGCGTAGGAGCGAAAACGCTGTCTCTTGAATCCGTATGTGCGGATTTCTTACCGGGATCGTAACGCGGGACTCGCCGCCCGGCTGCGAAGCACCCAGTATCGATTAGGCCATTTTGTCGGCGCTCGCAGTAATGACACGCCCCTCTCTGCGAGCAAGCGAGCGAGCTCGTCCGTGGGATGCGCGCGATATTCCGATCGATCACACCGTGTCTTCCTCACCTCTGACTTCCTGGCTCAACCGGGTCGGTAATCGTGCCTGCGGCTTTCCTTCCCGAACGTTCGCCCTGTAAATTTTCCAACGTTATCATCCCGCTTTTTATATTTGTTTCGATGTATGTGCTGAGATATTACGGTCAAAAGGCTCGAAGTGGCTTCCCCATTCTTTTTTTTAATTGCGTGAACTTTCAGGGATATCGGGGAAGATGATAAATGTGTGAGCTGCTCGAGTGAGGTGAAACCGTCACTGTGGATCGATACGTCGCTCGATGACTTGGTCTCGACGATGAATCGGGATGAAAATGCTGATACTTGGATAGAGGAAGATCGGTGGAATTGTTGGAGTTGTTTTACGACGATGTGAGGCCTCGCACTACTCAACCGACCAAGGATGTGTTACTGGCAATTGGTAGGGAAATGGAATGGGATACCACTCCGTCCAACGTATTCACCGCAAACAGTTCCCCCCGAATTCCGGTCGGCAACAACGAACTTTCGAGCGATCGAAGGTATCTGAAATGAAATCGACGACCTTACCAAAATGCAGACAGATTTCTTAAAAGTTAAATTTTGGATTTGGTGGAAAGAAAAGTGGGAAATGGCATGTTTTTTTTTTTTTTAAAATGAAAAGTGGATTCTCTTGGTATCCCTAATGATATTTTTACGTTTTAATTTAATAAACAATGTAATTACATCGTTTATTAAATTTGACGCGAAGACTAGGAAATATTCGGCGGATTACTGGCAAGATAGTTAAGCATTTCTTAACAATTATCATTTTAATATATTTCATACAGGCGCGGTTGCGAGGAGTATTACCACATCTATATACATATAATTTACGATTCCGTGATGTTTCCTACACAACTGAACGCGCGTGTTGAGCGTGAATAAATAAACTTCCGATAAATCTTTCCTACAAATCGTGAGATCCGTACGATATATAATTACAGTAAATATGAAGAAACTTTCTCACGGCAGTACAAATGCATCGTTTCGCCCCTATACTCTGCTTCGTACACACATTCATTTCACGAGAAACGATAATAATAATTACACGGAGAAGCCGTTAGCACTTCTGATTTTTACTTCGTGAAAGTTCTTCCTCCAATCTCAAGGCTTCCAACCTAGGAAGCTGTCCTGAATAACTATCTGCTTGAATATGCTGTTTGCGATCGATTGACCGGGCTTTCGGTTTCGTTGAGCTTCGACAATGTAAGAAACCTTCTCCCGGGCTTCCGCTCGCGATATGTCGCCCCTCAGGCCGAGCAGCCTGATCAGATGGTCTTCGGTCATGTCGGGATACTTCTCGATCAGCGAGTGCAAATCGAGAGAGAGTATTTCCGAGTCTTCGCAGCGCAGCACCTCGGCGAGCCGCTTTATTATCTCGAACGGTGAATTGAAGTTCCCCACCTTCGGCGCGATCCTGTCGAAGAAGTTCTTCAGCTTGTCCGCCTCGGTCATGATTTTCGACGTGCACGTCAGGCACTCGTCGTAGGTTTTCAACGATATCCTCCTCTGCAGCATCGCGGATATGTAACGCTTCGCGATCAGGTTCTGCGCCTCGGTGATCACGTACTCGAAGTTCTTGGGGCTTAAATGATTGTAATCCTGAAAGTAATCCTCCAGAGTGACGCAGATGGTCTCCACCGGGATGGGCGACGACAGCCACTTGGGCGTGATCAAGTCCTGGAAGTGCAGCTCCAGATCCAGGAAGGACTCCTGCAGCAGGATAGCGGCGGCCTCGTTCCTCAACTGCTGATAATTCGCTAAGAGATTCTCGAATTTCACGGTCGCGTCGTCGCTGGTATTCGGCACCCAGTAAAGCTGCTTCATCTGCTGCGCCAGCTCGGTGAACTGCACGCAGTTATTCACTATTGTGATCATATGGTGAGTGAAGTAAGGTACCTGGCTCCTGTCCTCGAAGTGCTTGATCTTGAACTCCAATATCGCTTGTCTGTACATGGATCCGTATTTGGTCACCTGTTCGATGCAGAGTACCAACGCTTCCGCCGTCAAGTTGGGACTGATGGTCCTCGCGACCTGGAGATTTTGATCGATCATCTGGAAGATGATGACCGGCGCCGCGGTATGATAGTACAGCTCTTGGGTGCTGCTCTCGGGCAGGATGCCGCTCCTCCAATCGCACTTCTCCGTCTCCAGTGTCTTCCTCATCCAGTCCTCGTAATTCTGACACATATTCCGCAGGTACTTCTCCTGAAGATCCTTTATCATCTCGGGACTGAGGAGCGGCCCGACATCGGACGTGTCGATGTTCAATTCGGGATGCTGCATCAACTCCGGTCCCGTGTAAGTGTTCATGATCCACGCCAGCAGAGAAACGTACTCGTTCCCTTCCAGACCACCGGCGATTATATCCTTCAAATGCTGGGACAGGCTGGTGTGGTACATTTTAACGAAAGTCCTCACTATGTTGTACCAGGGTGGGAAACAGGGGCCACATAGAGTCTTCACTACTCTCAGATCCTCGAGGATCAAGAGTCTTGTGAGTTCTAAGTATCTTACAAGCCACATCTTGTTATCTGCCCTCTCCTCCACGTGAGTGCCTTCAATCCTGTTGGCTACTGACTTCTCAAGTACCTTCATAGCCATATCCTTCCACTTCTTAGGCCTACCAGGTGGCATAAATCCACTCTGCTTGTGTCTCTGAATGGCGAACTGATCAGCTTTCTCTTCCCTCTCTATAATTCTCAGAGGTGTTACAATAACAGTAGGTTCTTTCCTTACCGTGTTCAGAGTACGGCTCAATACCAACCTTATTTGTTTCTCCATAAGTTGAGAAAGCATTTCCACATCCTCAAAATATGCCTTTAACATAACTGTGTCTGCTGGTGACTGATTAGGTAGCTTGTGTAGCTCATAGAGCAAGTCGTCCCTGGAATTCTCAAGATCCATGAGACTCTGATGAGCGTGTAATAATTTACCTTCGTTTATCCACTGCTTTGTCTTCTCGACACTTTCAGGGACTGTGAATATGTGCTTCAAGTTCTCCTTGGCGATAACGTACTGAGAATGGCGCATATTTTCCTCCTGTACCGCTTGCAACCTGGAACTGAGCTTCAGAACAGAACTGAACTGTTGGCTGATGTTATCCAGGTCGTCCTTGATGGTGGCGATACTTTGCAGAGAACTCTTCAGTTGCTCGAAGCCCACCCTGACCCCATCCAATTGACTTTTCATCGCGGTTTTAAGCATAGTCTCAACGGACGCCTTCTTCCTGCTTATTCTACGTTTGTACATGTCGATTTTCTCTAGTTGACCCGGTCGTTGCAAAAGATTCGTAACATACTTCGTGCCACGGGCTATCGCCTCTTCTTCTAATTTCTGCAAATCCTCCATATTCGTTGTCATTTTTGAGAATTATGCGACAGCTGCTCGATTATCAAAATCGCAGAACTTTGTTTTAATAAGATAACCTTCCGCGACGGAACACCGAATCTGACGTGTATCCTTACCCTTAATTCTGGCTAGGCACTAGGCCATGCGCCATCTCGTGTCAGACTCGGCAATGATTCAGTGGATTATAAAGCGATACGATTGGCTAAAATACTTGTTCAATAACGTAAAGGCGACAAACAAATCTGAGAAGGTTATATGTTCAATTCTTGAAAGTAGATTCAGCTTAGCCATATACGTAAGATTTAAAATAGTTCGGTAAAGTGTAAAATGAGATATCGGACACAGTAATTTTCATATAATATCAAATAAATAAATTTACTCGTGTATTATTAAAGAAATTGGGAAATATTCGATTAAATGGCTTACTTGTCGCAGTTGGCTTCCTACACGTTACAAAATATTCGACAAACTTTGTCATACGATAGTGGGTTAGGTTTGTATTCGAATGTATTATCATTAATATATATTTGACAATTGGGTACATACAATCGTTTATGTACCAGTGATAATTAATGAAGGTTTTTTATTATTAGGAACAGTATGTGTCAGATACGCTGCGAAGAAAGCAAGTACCAGCACCAGGAACAAACCTTTAAACATTAGGCCAAAACATAGGGGATGGAAAGTACAAGATGGACATTTCGTAAATGCAGGCCATAAGTTAGTCTTACAATTAACTTGCAGGTTTCATCCAGGTCTTCATGTAAGTATATCGAATTGCCATGTTACTGATTATTCATTGTTGAAGTCTGTTATGTTACAAACGTTTACTCATAAAACAGGTTGGCTTTGGGTCAGATCGGACTTTATATGCTCTTGAATCTGGAAAAGTGATGGTAACTTGTGAAAAAATCAACCCTAATTTAGGGAATTACTGGGTTAGGAAAAGTTATGCTGGTCGTGAGAACAGTGTTATATATAAGAAGCACTTCAATATTATTCCCGAACCACAACATAACCGATTTATGTTGATAAACACAATATAAATAATTATAAATATGTGTAGAAAAAACAAACTTAAACCATGATGATTGTATAATGAATATATTATTAATCACACTTTGTTATCAGAAATTATAATTCCCTCTCGTATGTCATTTTATCCTTCTTTATATTCATTAATTATTATTATTATATTCATAATATACAATAGTGTACAATAAAAATTGCCAGGAAAGTGCAAGTTGAAATATATATAGTTTCAATTAACTTCCATAATGCACAAAAGTGAGATTATAAGTAGATATTACAAAGTATGTATAACCAATAATAATTGCTTGTGATAGAAAGATGGTTGCAAGTACAAATGAATATTATTTTCATCAAGCAATTATGTACTTTCTTCATTATGTCAGCTATTTTCGAGTGTCTTGCTTCCTGCCCATTGTAAGGACTGATACTTTACTCTGTCTTCTTCTTTGCAATACATAGCAAGAACTAATGTTTTCCTAACATGACAACTAATCCTACATTTTGCAACAAGTTCTATAACAGATATTTCTTCATCCTTGCATTGACATTGTATGATAAATTGTGAGTGGAACATTATTGGATCACCTGTAAATCAGATATAATAATAATTATTGTAGTGCAAAGTTTTATCATTATTATCAGAAAAAATAGAAGAGAAAGCATACCTGGATATATTAAAAAATCACCACCAAACTTATCACCATTAGTAATATAATATCCTCTTTCCCAAAGATCCTTGTATACTTTATATTTAACTTGCTGATCAGAAGTAAATGGATATTTCCATTGTACTATTTCTATATCATCACGGTTAAACCATGGATATGCTAAAATATTCAGACAAATTATATCAGGTATATCATTGAACATATACGTGTGTGTGTGTGTGTGTGTGTGTGTGTAATTAAAATTGGACAATCTGTGTTACCTGTATGTGTTTGAACAAATGCTTCGTTTTTAGTTAATTTGGGTAGTTTAGCCAATTCTTCTTCAAGCAAATTTTGAGTATTAATCTCAATACTGTCTAATGCTTCCTGTGTTTTCTTATCTAAAGTCTTTCTCATCTTCTTCTTGTTTGTGTGCAAACCTAGCATCTTACGTTTTTTTCCTTCTACAATCTTGTCCATTAGAGAAGTAATCTAATGAAAAATTAGGCTATTTTTTTTTATCCTGTTGTATAAAATTTAAGTATTCCTTTCAATATAAACATATATTAACAATTGTTACCTGTTTACTTCTATTTTTCCTTAGACATTCTGCTTGTTCTATGAATAAAGTATTTCTATATTCTTCAAATTTTTCACTCAATGACACAGTTGGTGGTTTTCCCAAACTATGATTTTGTACAAGACAAGCAATGTTTTTTTCAAGCAAAAGAGTCACTTCTTCTGGTAGTAAAAGCAATGGGAGACCTAAAAATACATCTTGTCTAGTTGATTTTGGGAAGGATCCTATTAAATCGCCAAGTACTCTGTGATCCTGTCGAAGCTTCAACCAATCTACGATAAAAGAACATATTAAACTACTAAATAAAAACATTATGTTAAATATATGTATATTATAAAATTACCATCAGCGTTCCACACAAAAACGTTATTTTTTGAAAGAATGAGATACATGATAGCTGGCACACTTGCAATTCTTTCAATTTATAATTGATATGCTTCAGGGGAATACGCTATCAATATATTTATGATATTCTTTAACAAGTTTTTGTCTTTTGTCAAGCTGCACCTACTCATTTTATATAAAACCTTGTGTTCACTTGGACAGAACGGTTGCAACAGTTTTTACTTCTCATGTTTTGGAGCACATAAAAATTATGACGAGTGTGAAATTAACAACATTAATATAGCTAATGTGGTTAAAAACTAGAGATTTCAAGCTTTAAAGTACTTTTTGAACGATCTCGATAGTATCACTATTGCGAAAGTTACAGCCTGTTGAATTTCGTCTATGCTTTATTACGATGGAAAGTATTTCTGACAAGCCCTTGAGTCATACTACTTGAGAAATAAAAAATACGTCCGGCCTCATCGTTTAGTCATATCACGATCCATTTTTTTTTTATTGGAAGTAAAGGATGTACAAAAAGGAGTACAAGGTCTAGAAACTTAGCCTATCCGACCCGACGATCACGACCTCAATTTCTCGTTAAGTATAGTGCCGGCTCGTAGCGGAGATTCTGGAACTAAATTTCAGAAATAACGGGTTTAACCCGTTAATTAGGTATGACGAAATATTTCGTCATACACGAACTATTACTGCAATGGGCATGACGGCATTTTTCGTTATGGAAATTTGCCGTAATATTTTGAACGCAAACAAAAAAAAATTTATTCTCCGGTTAACAGGTTAATAATTTCGTAAACCTGTTACATTATTGATACACCCATTATAGAAATAACGCGTTTACGGAATTATTAGACCCGTTATTCCTGAAATTTGGTTCCAGAATTTCCGCTACGAGTCGCCACTATATTTAACGAGAAACTGAGGTCGTAATATGACTAAACGATAGAGCAGGACGTATTATTTATTTCTCAAGTAGTATGATTGGGCAGGTCAGACGTACTTCCATTGTAATAAAACATAGGTGAAATTCAACAGGCTCTCACTTTCGCAATAATGATGCTATCGAGATCATTCAAAAAGCACTTTAAAGCTTGAAATCTCTAGTTTTTAAATACATTAGGTATGTTAATGTTGTTTATTTTCGTCAAGATATTTCGAGTTAAACGAAAAGCGACTGCTCAATTTCAAACTTTATCTTTCAGTTGAGTTTTTAGAGCAAAAAATTATTGAGTCGAATATAATATATTCTGATGTCAATCTCGTAGACACAAGCCCTTTTTCCAGATTTATAATAGATGTAGTAAATTTTAAAAGACTTTTTCAAGATAGCGTCAAGCGTCACGAATCAACCAATCAGCAGACAATCCATTGCACAGCAATGCACAGCAATTGATACACAGTTTCCGATAGGTTGAATATTTATCGCTTGTGTTATTCTTTCTATTTCATGTGGTTTTCCATTGTGCAAAGGGTTTAAAGCTCGCGAACAAAGGATTTGTTGCACGTGACCGCTGAAACCTACATTTTGCATAAATTTCCCACAGAGAAATTTAGTACACGTATCGCGTAAGAAAGTTTTTCTTTTCAATATTTTTCATTATTTATTTATCGTTTATTCAATATCTCAATTAATTGAACTTGTGTTTTATTTGTAATAAGAGTAGTTAACTTATTATCTAGGATATTACAATAGCGTTATTTATTTAAATGAAAATTCCAATATTTTCTGTTGTACTTCTACAACATAACCTATCACATGATTGCAGGATGTATGTAAACAATATATGATTGTCCTTATATATATTCGTTTTTAACTTATAAAAAATATGCGAATTGTGTTTGAAAACGAATAGTATATTTAAACATTGGTACTATGATGAATACTAAGATGGATGCATCAACTGCGCAAGTCTTCTTGGAACTTAAATCGTGCTGTGACCATCTGATGAGAGATCCAAAGAAAGACAATATATATAAATTTGTGGAAATAATAACAAACAACGGCAACATAGCCATGCAATATCTGTTGGAGTATTGCTTACGTTCTACTATTATTTCTTTACAAGTCGTAGACTTGAGGTAATTTTTTTGTCATGCTGTTTTCTTTATAACCCAGGATATAAAATAAATATTAATACATATAATTAGTTAAATACAATTAGTTGTGTGTCTATATCACAGTTTGTTAGTGATTGTTATAGCATTCAATGTATTAATATTTATATGTGATTTATACACAACTTATATATTTTTCATTATATGTTTTATATAGTAAGGATAAAAAAGAAGAATTGCTTAGAATTCTGAGGCTTGTATTACAAAACAATAAAATCAAAAAATTAACAGATTTTATTCGTATTTATTCAACTGTTCTAGTCCAGATTTATGATAAAAGCCAGATAAACAAAGGTATGTAGGATAGATAGTATTAAAGAATACCTCATAATTTAATTATTTATATATTTTTTATAGTGATAACATTCCATGAAGAACTTAAGGAACTAGTAGTTTTGTGTATTAAAGACATTATCCACCAAAGCTTTATTGAAGTAATAGAGTTGCTTTATAATAAAGAAAATAGAGTAACACTTGGTCAAGGAATATTACTATGTTTGACCATTGCAAAAACTGAGAAATCACCCATTGTGAGGTAAATATTTAAAAGAAATATAGCAGAAAAGTGATGTACATTTTATAATATTTTTTTGAGATACATATATATTGGCTCTAATACAAACCAATTACTGCTAGACTAGCAGCAATAGATGCAATAATGGCTCTGTGTTATGTACATGATGAAGTAGATAGATCTGATATTGTTTTACAAGAGCAAGTAGCAGATACTGTTATGATATTTTTACCTGGTATTATTGGTGGGTTGCAAGAGATAATAATAGAAGGAGAAATTCAGAATCACAAAGTTGCGATGGTAATATATACTTCTTATACGTGCTAATAATTGGTTTTAATATATTTCGACAGAAGCAAGTTAACTTAAAGGGGATGATATATTATATCTTATAATACAAATAACATAGTCTACATTAAATTGATATTATAGATGGCAGTTCGAGCATGGGGAAGAATCATATCTCTTATAATGCATGATAAAGAAGAGACTGTATTATCTGTAGAAACACTCATGAAAGCAGATACCTGTTACAATACTTGTTTGTTAAATACTTCAGCGCGTACTAAAACATTTGATAAAGAGAATTATCTGAAACAAGATGTAAGAAATCAGCACTGGTTTGAAGCCGCAGCTAGTAAACTTGGCAGTAGCGTGCAACTTTTGGAAAAAGTCAGAAGTCATTCCCATTACAAAGTCAGACTAGAGTTGGTTGAAAGTATTAACCTTGTACTTCAAAATTGCTTCAGGTAATGTATTTTTCTTTTATGTATATATAAAATTTTTTGTATCTTATAACGTAGATAACGTAAATATGTTCTACACAGAAATATGAAACCAAATATTATGGCGTTAATAGATCACTTGATTTCCTTATCTGAAGATGAAATTGTGGATGTTGGTGCAAAAGCACAAAGTGTGTTGACTATTATAAGCGAAAACTTCATGAGGAGGCACAATATGAATCTAACGAATTTACTTGAAGAAAAATTTTATAGTTTACTTACAAGATTGCCTACAATTGTTAGATGGTCAAGTGAGATCTCTTCCTTAACCATTGATACATTAAGGAATTAAAATATGCCGTGTGTTTATATTTTACTCTGTTATATCTGTTTTCAGACGATGACGAACAATTAGCATCCTTGAATCAATTCGCTGGTTATTTAAAGCTACTCGGAGAACAGAATTTACCGCATACAATGAGCTCCCAAGTTCACACACGAAAATTACTTTTAGCTCTTGTATACATCATGGAGATAGATTGCAACGCAATATCTCTTTTACAGACGACAAATGTGAGAGATTTAGATGACCCTGCATACTTCTATGGGTCGGATTCGTGGAAACAGTTTAAGTTCATCAAGAATAGCTTGTGTAAACAGAAAATTGTTGGAATATGCAAGTTACTTGGATATCTGGGAGACTTGAATATATTAGTCGACGCTATCCTCGAGCTTATGTCGGATGTACCATTATACAGAAAGGAACTGAGTTTGTTACTTAACTGGATAGGTAATACGGTGTATATGTATTTAGAAAATGAAACATTACAAGGATCGACTTTTACATATAATATGTATATTTGTTTCAGTTCCTGTACAAAATTCGTCTGCCTCACATTTATATAAGGAAATTGTGCATTTTTACACTTCAGAGGAAGTGTGGTATTTGCCGATAGAAGTGACAGAAGCTACTTCTCTGATGCAAGCACAGAGTAACATAGTGCAGTGTTGCCTTTTAATGGAAGGACTCGGCTGTATAGCAAAAAATCTGAAACGTGACTACGACATACATCTTTTAAAAACCTTGTATTTAATTATGGAAAGAGCAGGTATGCTTTAATGTGATCCCAAGTTTTAAACCTTGTTTACCTGCGATTTGCTTACTAAGGAGAATTGTAAATAATTTTTTAGGCAACGGGAACAGTTTAATAAGTTACATTGGAGTTCGTACTCTTGAAATTATCGCAAAAGCGCAGCAACACAATACAATCGGTGATCTGTTATGCGCTAATGTGGATTACTTTTCCTTTCACATTATAATGAAATTGCGCCAGGTGGATCTTAATACCGGAGTACTCGACGTCGTCGAAGTTGTTATGAAGTACAGCGAATTAAATTTTTTGCCATACCTACGTGGAATTGTGGAAAATGCCCTCGGGCAATTAAGTAACTCGTCTCATCAAAAGAATACTTACGGTTTTTTAAGGGTATTTTATGCGTTTATCACGTGCATGCAAACCTTACTGAAATGCGAGGATACGCAGATAACAAAAGAAGACGTACAAATTACAAGTAATTTTTCCGAGATGATTATTCATTCTTTGCTCGAATATTACAAGGCTAAACAGATTGATAAGAAACTAAAGGACGATGAGAGGACCGAAGAGACAGAATTGGACTCAGATCTGCCAAATATCGAGTCATCGGAAGAGGCAAACGGACGTTACACTAACTCTTATGCGGAAGGTATAACGTCATTTTACATCTTTTTATATATAAATTCCTCGAATATATATTTTATTATTTTTCTTCCTGTTGCATACACTATCGTTTTGTAGACAAGCAAGAAGACAAAGAATTGCCCCTCCATGTGCAAATAGTAGTAAAGATCATGAAATGTTGTTTAAACTTTCTACCTTCGTATGATGTACAAACATCATTAATGGCGATGCAAACGCTTCAAGCTGGTTTAATGATATTGGCTGAGTGGGAAAATGAGCTATTGCCTATTGTGCATCAAATGTGGCACCCACTGATTGATAGGTTTAACAATAAAAATGTTATCGTAATCACTCGTGCTTGGCAACTCTTGTATGTACTGGCCAGCGTATCGAATGACTTCATCAGAAGCAGAACTTTACGGTAAAATATTTCACATGTTTAGCAGAATGACTATACTGGAAACAAGACTCACTTATACTAGAAGTAAGTGATATCAAGTGACATTGTAATATTGTAATTAATCTTACAGAGACGTGCTGCCACCCGTGTCTAAATTCTTGATCGAGTCTTCCAAGGAAAGTATTGATAAAGGATCTAAAAATATCTACAAATTTACGCAAACCTACAAATTGCAGTACGAATTGTTGCACACGTTGGGAGTAGTTGCACGGCTTTTGAAACTACGGGAGCAAGAATTGTGGAGGATATTAAGCGATACGCAATTTTATCTTAGTGCGCGTCAAAACCCTGCATTACAAGTAATGTTGAATGATGAGATGTTACACGCGCATCTAAGTGTCCTCGACTAATTATAATTCCAAAAATTCACAGGCATGTTGTGTGCAATTATACAAAGAAATTGCTGATTATAATGGAGATGTCGTGTGGGTGAAATGCCTCGGTATTTGGAATTCAAACGTTGAGAAAATAGTATCGGATGTGACGTTTGATATCAAGGATATATTGGTACGTAAGGCTTTTTGATCATTATATACGACACGTGCGATTACTATGATCTGTAGATAAAGGTTTGGTGATACGTCAAGTTCTTCCATGTTATTTTTCAGAATCCCAAAAACGTTGCAACGTCAAATGAATATTACAAAAACGTACAAGAAATTATTATTTATATCCAAGGAAAAACGTTTAGTATATGTTAAAAAATACATGCTGATATATTTAAAGGAAATTATACGCGGCAATGACGCCTTAAGGCTTTTGGTCCCTCGCTACGACTGTCCTTGTTTAATGACATCAAAAGGAAGAAAACGCATGTTAAGAATTCTTGCATTTTGCGTACAAATAAAAAGATATATTCACAAATATCATTTTGTGTATATCTTTTTATTTGTACGCAAAACGCAAGAATTCTTGACATGCGTTTTCTCGCTTCTGACGTCATTAAACAAGAACAATTGCAGTGACTATCCAGGAGCCTTAAATTGGTACAAGCATATAGTGTAAATATTATCTTCAAGTCTCCTTCCTTTTCTTTTAAACAACAATTTGAAACTGTTTAATTACGCGTTCTTATTCTGCATTAAATAATCAAAGTGATATAAAATTAATTCATATATACATATATATTAATTTAAATGTGTGTGCACATAATTGATATGTAAAAATATCGCATAAAGAATATGAAAGAAGAAAAATTGAGTCTCTTTTATATTTGTATCGTAGTGTGTATATATATATATATATATATATATATTTATTTATTTATTTATTTATTTATTTATATATGTGCGTATGTTCTAGAAAATAATGAAAAATTTTTTTATAGCAGATATTTATTTGTATATAATTCTAACAGATTTATAATTATTTTCCACATATATATTTGTACAATCACTTATATGTAATTATACTCTCTTCATTATCTACAAAGCAATAAATTATAAAAAAATGTATCATAATATTAAGTATGTTTAGTGATATTTACATATTATACTCTCGTTTTATATCGATTTCAATCGATTTCAATCGTTGCCATATTTTTCATAAAATATAAAATTGTGTGATATTAACTTCTATAATCTACAAATAGATCGCTCATTTGATTTTGAGACTAAAGAATTTGACGAAAATATTGAGAGATTATTTGAATTACACACTTTTCGCGAAGTAACTTAAAATTTTTACAATATTTGCATTGCATGGCAGTTATGTAACAGACACTATTTCAAATAACAAAATGTGTATAATAAAGATAATAAAAACGTTTTATTATCTTTTTAACAACTTGTTCCTGTTATGTTCCAGTAGAATAATTTGACTTCTAAAATTGGAAATGATACCAGTTTTTTGATAAAACAGTAAATCAAGGTCACTAAACAAATTAAGGTGATGTAAAGAAAGTTTCATGTGTTATACGATAAATAATTATTTAAAAATTGCATTCCTTTACATGACATTTTTCAAAAGTATTACAAATGACCTTCTCAAAAAAACCTGTTCGTTTGCAAAACAGCTGATATTTTGCAAGAAATCTGGAATATAAGTGTATAAAGTGCATACACTTCTTACGTATGTTATATTAAAGGATGATAAACTACGGATATATAGAAAGATGCAAAATATACTGCTCTTCGGAATTTCTAGAAGATAACATCTTACAAGCGCATAAATTATAAATATTTGGTTAGAAATTTATAGATTATCATATTCAATATAATACACAATCACGCATTCCTTTTTCCAAGATAAGTAAATGCCTGCATTCAGCGCTGTTCATTATCATATACACTAACATTTCAATATTTTTATTATAAAATGCATTAATGAACGTACATAGTCTTTCCCGTAGATGTATTTGAGAAATTGGTAATCTTTGCTTTGATTTATATCGAGGATGCGTAGGTATCACATGAAATAACGTCACGTAATCTGCAAAAAGTTCCGTATAATTAATAAAGAAGCAATTACGTCTTGAGCACGTTATCAGTTATCTCCATATAGTTTAATATAGTTTAATAAATCGATGATCATGGTCCACTCTTGTCATACATTGATAGCACACTTAAAGGACTTAAAGACATTAACCTATCGCAGGTATGCATTCTGTGTCGCTAAGAAGGTAAAATACACTATGTACGTCTTTTTAATTAAGGGATTCGAGATTTTTTTAAGAAATCTTTAGGTAAGATAACAAAGTGTCAACGTTTTACTTTGTGTTAAAATTAGCTATTTATAAAACAGTATATTTTACAAGTTATCTTAGCAAAAATTCTTGCCTATAGTGTGAACAGATTCATACATATTACATAATGATTTTCTAGAAAAGCGAGACATCATTTCCACGCTTGCTTTTGAGCTTTTTGGGATGCTAATTTTTTCGTGGCGTACGATGAGATTAACAGCGCCGCAAGTACTATCACAATAAGATAATAATCAAAGTCTTCTTTTAGAACGTCGAACGTTTTAGACGGTGCCACTCTCGTGTAAAACAAATCTGCAAGCACAATCGTTATTCAATTACATCGCGAGTGTTTCTAGAATCGTAATTGTGCAATTGCCATACTCACCAAGACCGTGTACAAAAACTAAACAAGTACTCTCAAGGCCACTGGGACTAGTGTGGATGCCCAAAACCCTTGAAACACTTTGATTATAATTGATAATGGCGTCCATGTGAATTGGAATTTCGGGCATGTACGGTATTACTCCTTCTTCTCGCATCTCAGGGTTAATAGGCCGTCGTGGATCTACCATCATCCACGGCAACTCTAATATTCCACCATTGGCCAAAGCGACTAAGAAATGTGTTGAAAAGAAAAAATTAACACGATTAACCGCAACGTATCATATAACACACTATTAAATATATACATATAATCGAGATTGATACATTTTTTCCTTTCAATTCATTAATCATATACCTCACGTACCTATTATATGTTTGCTAGTAATACCCTTTTCAGTAATTGTTTCCTGCATATACTCTATAGATGCCGGGAAAATGAATGCCTGTCTCTCTACAATCGGCAACTTTGTCGTCGCTAAAGAGGAGAACACTAAAACACCCGACGATCGTGAATGATTGTTCGGTCGACATTTAAAGCTTACATAAATACACACGGCCGAAAATTAATAACTGATGCCTCTACCTGTGGTGTTGCTCTGTATCTTTCCTTCGTACAACTCTAACGTGGCGATCTCTGTTCTACGTCCTTTCTCATTGAAATAACTGTATACCAACCAATTTTCTGAATGCACAATATGGATTGGACCACGTACTCTTTTATGTGTGATCGAGAAAATCATAGCTCCGGATACTACATCCAGTAGATACAAATTAAGCGTGTCTACGAAATAAAATTAGTACAATAAAAAAAGAAGTATCTTCCGATATGAGCACAGTACCGATTCGAGGTCGCACGTAATAGTTCAGCGAGTATGTACTTACTTTTATGGGCGTGTCCTATACCTTCCGTCACTACGGCCACTAAATTCGGATTAATGTACTTGTACAATACCGATCTGTCGCTCAAGACCCTCCCTTGGGAATGGACACGTTCTATCGGATTCTTCGCTATAACCTGCGTTATTCTCTGGTTCCTCGGCGATAATAACAATTCCCACACTTTATGAGCGATTAACTCCTACGGTTTCGGTCATTAAAACGATCCACGCTTATTGACGTGTAACGACACAGATAGATATGTACATATTTCTAGAACAAACCTGAGTCGTGCTGTATGAGAGAGAGAATCCGGATAATATTCCGGTCGTCTGGTCAGCTGTAAAAAGGTATGTACTTTTCCCGAGTGTGGCAGCAACCGCGGTTGCGCTGGCGGGATAAACGTGAACTTTATCCCGTGCGTCGAGAACAAGGATACCACGCAGGAAATCATCGGTTGTTACGTGCAGTAACATTGACTGCTTCACTCTATAGCCAAGTTTCACTAGTCCGTCCAACGGCTGCCCGATAATCGGGTTAAAAGTGTACATGACACCCTCCCCACTTTCCTATCAAAATAAGAGAACGATATCGGATCATGAAGTGCAATCACGCAAATATCGTATAGCTATTATCATTGTATGCCTGGGAAAAAATATATATGATTATATATAATTATATAAAATCATATATGAATTTCACCCATATATATGTTGTTACATGTATGATCATATATGTCTATACGAGAAGAAAAAAGATGTTATGTCATTTAATTTAATGTCGATATCATGTGCTGTTAGAAGCACAAGTAATCAGAAGCATTCACTTCGATTGTATTTGCATATAATTTGTAAACAACAGTATTTTTTTCGCTGTGGACGTATATGATTATACCATAGTCATATATGGGCAAATTCCATATATGATCTTTTCTTTCCCGGGTATAATATACGACCATGCGTAATACCTTATCCTCTGCTAACAGTGCGCACTGCGGTGGATGAGGGAAATGTCGGCTACCTCTTTGAACGTACAGGATCATCGTGTTGGATATTTTTGTAAAACCCCGGATATTAGGCAATCTTAGTTGCCAGATAATTTCCCCTTTTCTGGTCTCGATGCCGTACAGCTGTAAATGATTGAAAATGTAACAACTCATAAGACGACAGATACGCTTTACTCGAATTACATGCACACACCTTCCCAGCGGACGTAACGGCTACGATCATTTTATGCAAGCCGAATTTATCTCGCACTAGGTCGGTACGTTGATTGGATTGCTGTGGCACCAGGTCGAGTATCGTGTGAAAGAACGCTCTCACTTGATTGATCTGCGAAGTGACCCTTCTAAATACCATGCTCAACAAGTCCCCTGTTTAAAGAAAACATAGCACAGTCAGAGAATGTGCAACTCGAAATGATTATTCGATCAAAATCTATGGATTGGATAATTCAGCTAGCAAGACGATATTAAAAATTAGACGATATCAGATAATAATAGCAAATAGCAGGTATTATTATCAAGCTATTGAATTGCATCGTCAAATTTTCTCTCAGCAAAGCCTAATAACTTTATACATATATATATATAT